GCCGAGCAGGGAGCCCGATGCGGGACTCGATCCAGGGACTCCGGGATCATGACCTGAGCCGAAGGCAGTCGCTTAACCAACTGAGCCACCCAGGCGCCCCAGTCTTAGCAGTTCTGAAGAAAAATTAGAAACTTTGCATTAATTGAAAGCTTATACAGCCTGGCCCGGTAACAGCTCCATCAATCATCAGTTACCCCTTCTTTCCTATCATTTTGACCCTTCCTTCTTTGATGGCTTTTTACTCTCAACCTTTGAAAACATTCCTAGACCTTGGGTTCCCCTTTAACTATTGTCACTTCTCTTCTGCCTTAAACACCCGTCGTTCAGTGCCTGTGACCACTTTCTCACTTCCCTTTTATGTCAGCCCCACTGCAGTCTGACTTGGTTCTCACTGTTCCACCAAAACCTTGCAACTGAAAGTCACCAGTAGCATCCATATCACCAAATTTGGTGGAAACTTCCTTTTTGAAGCATTTGACCCTATTGGCCATGTTCTTCAAGTGTTCCCACGCCATCCCAAGGTTTCGGCCTATCTCTCTGCTCACTTCTTCTCAGAGTCTTTCTTAGGCTTCTCTTCTGCCTGCTTTTTAAAACTTTGTGTTTCCCAGGATACTTCTCCTCCTACCCATTGTCCGAGGCTGCTCATCTGATCCCCCAGTTTTTGTTAGTCGTATGCTTAGGAATGTCCCAAATGGATTTGTTCAACCAGATCCTCCTCCTCAACTCCAGGTCTGTACATTGAGAAGCCTGGATTGCTCATCTTCACTGAGAGCTTACACAGGTGCTCCAGCTCATTCCAACCCAAGCTGGACCTGCTGTTTTGCACCTGCCCCAAATAGGCTTCTCAGGGAATGGCACCACCGCCATCTGTGTATGGGGCCTGGAAGCTTGACACCCTCCTCCCTCCTTTCCCACACTCCATGCTGTAAATCCTATTTGCTTGATTTAGTCACTAAAATGTAACAATACACTGTACCAGACTTTAGACTTGGCTTTATGGCTTTAATGGTAAAAAAAATATATAGATAAGGTACTTATACTCACGGAATTTGCTAGTGAGACCATAGTACCTTCCAAATCTGTCTTTTGCTTGCTTCACTTTCTGCCTCCTCATCACTTGATCACTTCCTGTACCTCCTCTCCTTCCCTTTCCTTACCCTCCTCTAGGTCATTCTCTCTCCCTCTTGCGGGGCCTAGAAGGTACTCCTCAGCCCCTGCTCATGACATGTGGTCCTTGTTGGTGTGTGCAGGGCTCCTCTCTTGTATTTATTTTCTCATTCCTTCTCATCTTCATCCTCATTCTCACCCTTCCAAAGACAGCTATTCTAACGGATTAAATGATTACCTTTTTGTTTTCATGTATTCCCCAAAGTATATGTTACTGTTTTTGTACAAATACCCTTTACATTTACATTTGGTGAAATTGTTTTTTTGTTTGTTTTTTTGTTTTTTGGTGCACGAGTTCTGTGAACTACAACACATGCATCAATTTGTTTAACCATTCCCACAATCGGGGTTTAGACCCTCCCTCCAAAATACTCCTTTCTTCCGTTGCTCCTTTGTTGTCACAGGCACCCGAGCCCCGAGCCCCTGGCAACCCCTGTGTAGTATACTTTTAATTTCAATAATGGTATTGTGTTACAGTTCACATCTTGTTCTCTTTCTTATTTGTTCCACTCAGCACTACGTTCTCAAGATAAAACATAATGTTAATCTGCTGCCCAGTTTCCCAGGATGTGCATAATTTAATCCTAACAAGACACATATGAGCAAGATGCTATTATTGCCTCTGTTTTATAGATGAAGAAAATGAGGGTTAAGTAACTTGCTCAAGTCATGGGGTATTGGGGGCAGAATGGTCATGCAGGCCCTGATGTCTCTGACTTGGTGAATGCCTCTCTTCTTGTGTATATTCCGCTAATCTTGTCCATGCGGTTCATATGTCATTGCTGCTATGTGAAATTTCTCGGGGCTTTCTTTCTGGAAGTGATTGATACCTTCCTCTCATTAATTCCCATTGCTCTTTCTCTCTTTTTTTGTGGCCTTCCATTCTCTGACATCAAATGTAGCTGTCTGTGTGTCTTCTTCATCATAGTATACCCACAGCACCTGGTGTGATGCCTCATACATTGTTTGTCCTCACCAAATGGCAGTCAACATTCAGTCAAACAATCAATGGTTCAGAAACTGTTCAGTAATCTTGTAATGCAATCCTGGACTTAGATGGGCTAGTGAAAATGCAGAGGAAGGAAATCATAGGACAGAAAATTTCAGGAAAAACTTGCTGTGACTCAGAGGCTAGCTGGAGTACATGTGTGGAGAAGGACTGTCGGCCTCCGCTAGCCCTTTGATCTCAGAGGACGTTCATTGAATACATGAATGACTTCCAGGATTTCAAGCATTTCAAGCTGGGTCCCTTACGGAATTCGTGGAGCCACTGGCCTTTGCCCAGAAATTCAGAGCACAGCCAGTCAGGTGGGGTAGGTGGTTGGCACCTGGCACAGAGGATGATGATCCAGGTCAGAATGAGCTGGCCAGGTGGAAACTGGAAATGCCCAGTTGGCATTTCTTCTTAGGACTGGAGCTTGGAGGAAAGGATGGCTCACAGCTCGGGATGTTGGGAGTCCTCA